GGCGGCACCACCGTGCAGCTCACTGTTGGCCGCAGCACAGCCGGAGCAGACAGGAAGTGTGAGGTCTCTTTTAATCAGAGAGCCCGCTCCGCTGCCAGGACAAGCTGCCGCCTGCTGCTCGCTCTGCCCTGACGGAGTCTGGCTGACTCACAATTAGACATTCTTGATACTGTAGGATTCACAGTTTGTCTGGCTATGCTGGTTTGTGATGACAACTACTACCGTACCGTATACAGGTAATACATTTCCTGTTTTTTTGTTCAACAATAAATGTGTACCGTATTCTTCTTCATGGAAAAATAAGACATCCCCTGAAAATAAGACCTAGGGCATCTTTGGGAGAAAAAAATGAATAAAAGACACTGTCTTATTTTCAGGGAAACAGGGTAGTTGTTTAGGGGTTGGTGCGAGGTCATTTTATCTTCACAACCACTGTATGGTCAAGCCAGCCCAACACGGTTAGCCTGCCCATGCTGGGACAGGATGCTGCCCACACTTCCCGCCATTCAGTTCTGAAAGACCAGGCTGTCAGAAGCAGACTGCTAGGACTTCCCTCCTCGTCTTCGCCTGGAAGCTCTGCTGGCACCTGGCAGACTGGGGCAAGGGGCCCACAGGTTACTCAGCCTCCTAGCCACACACAAGTCCCCACGGCTGTCGGTGGCTGTGCATGAGGCACCCTGGTTGGGATTGAACCATTGTTGCTGCAGGTCACCCCCCAACGAGCACGTCACCTGTACTCTCGCTCCTGCAGGATCTCCACGGGGTCCAGGCCCTGCGGCTTCTGGATGGGGCTGATGCGGCTCTGCTTCGGCTGCAGCTGCAGGACGGGCGACGGCTGTCCCGGGGCTGCCTGTGGCGCAGAGGGTCCCGGCACTGCGGCCGCGGGGGGCTGCGCAGGGGTGGGGGGCGCGGGCGAGGGCCGGCCACTGGGTGTGGGTGCAGGAAGCTTCTGTGCAACACTGGGCCCACTCATCTCGGGCCCTGGGCCTGTGGACAGAGCAACACAGTCAACTGTGTGTGTGTGTGTGTGTGTGTGTGTATACAAGGGGGACACCAACTGCCCTACACATGCTAGTAGGGTGGTGGTAAAGGGAGAAGGGTAATGGGGAAGGAAGAACGGTGGGGAGGCGAGGACAGGAACACGGAGTAACAAGAGAAAAAAAGGAAAGAATAAAGACAAATGGGGAAGGGATCCCAGAATGGTTGGAGACAGGGAGGCAAAAGTGGATCAGGGCGACAAAGACAAAGGGGAGAAACAGGAAGAAGAGGAGTCATCGGGAAAAGGAGGGTGTGCTAGTATGGGTGGACCAGAGAACCAAATCCACTGACATGCAGGTATGCTATGGTGACCAGATTTAAAGCAGAACACCATTGACCGGAGGGCAGCGGGGGGTGGGGGCGGTGGGGGGGTGGGTTCTTGATTGAAAATTTGGTCTATATGGACCCAATAGACCGTTCCCTAGCTTGTCGTGCATTCTTTCCAAAAATCGGGACTGTTCCGCCAAAAGCAGGACGTCTGGTCACCTTAAGGTACGTGCTAGAGAGAGCTTTATATAACAGAGCCATTATGTATTAAAAAAAACCCAGCCCAATCCAGATCCAGTCCATAAGTCTGATATTAGCCCAGCTGTCTGATACCAGTCTATAAATTCTTCAGATTCACACAACACATGCAACGACACCAAATGCAGGGAGATCACAGGCCAGTGGGTGGAAAGCCCCATGGATCCAGTGGCAGTGGAAGCATCCTATGCTGGTGCGGGTCTCCATGTGGCTCCTCCAGCTCCAGGGCTCTGGTTCCATTAGCGTAGCTCCGTGTGGCTTGTCAAGAGGAATGTCTTGCAGGGAGGGTGGGCATGTCCCCCTGCCTCTATGTCCCCCCAGCGAGCTCTTTATCTCCTTAGCGCCGCCTCCAAATGAGGTCATCAAGCTGCGCCCTGATTGACGGGCTAAACTCTACCCCTTCGATCTTACTAATCTCAAATTGACAGCAGATGACGTCACTCGCACATAGAGAAATGGTGAGAACAAAGAACAAGGACACGGAAATGTAAGAAAAGGCAGGGAAGATCGTGGGGGGCGGACGGGCCGCAGAAAGACTGGAGGAAAAAGGAAGCAAAGAGGGGAAGGGACTGGAGGGGAAAATAGGGGACCAGCACAAGGGAAGAATACAGAACAGTGCGGACGAACCCGGCAGGAGAAGGGGAGACAATGAGGGGAAGAGGGAGCGCAGCAAGAAGAGAAAGACATAGATCAAAGAAAGAAAAGGTGGGGCGGGGTGGGGAGAAAGGAAGCGGCAAGACAGAGGAGGGAGACAACTGGGGTGATAGACAAAGATTCTGGCCTTGGTACCCCCAGAGGAGTGGCACTCACCAAAGAGCACTGGAACAAACAGGGCCCAAACCTGGCTCTGAAGCAGTACATGATACAGAACAGGCTGTCAGCTTTCAGTGCGGCTCCGCCGTGGGGTTTTCTTAGGAAGGATTATCAGTGGATTCTGAGTCCAAAAGACCCAGGAGTCACTTAACGGTCCCCTGGGATTCAGGTGTGGCCCTAAAGGTGTGGTACAAACCTCAGGGCACTCCCTCCCTTTCAAGCAGGCCTGGTCTTGGCCAGCAAGTCGATCTCGAGTCACAGTGACCCCTACAGGACAAGCATAGAAGTGCCCCCGTGGGTTTCCAAGGCTGCAAATGCACAGGACTAGAAAGCCTTGTCTTTCTTGAGAAGATCAGCTGTCTGAGGGGTTCAAACCGCTGACCTCACAGTCAGCCCGTGGGTAACTCACCAGGGCTACAAACTCAGCGGCAGGGGCTGCCTGTCCATGGTGCCCTGAACCATCAACACACACCCTCTTCTGAAATCTGACTTAGGGTTCAGGCTTAATCAGTAAATCTTGGGGACTTGATTGTTTTTCTTTCTTCTTTTTTTTAAAACTATATATTGGGATATAGGAATCCTGGTGGCATAGTGGTTATGCACTGGGCTACGATCCGAAAGGTCAGCACTTCGAAACCAGCAGCAGCTCCAAGGGAGAAAGACCGGGCTTTCTACGCCCATAAACAGTTACCGTCTAGGAAACTCACAGGGGCAGTTCTACCCCATCTTACAGGGTCACTATGAGTCAGCATCCACTTGATGGCAGTGAGTGAATTTTGAGTATTAGAAGATATTTCTGCAAACATTCAGTGTAGCTCGGGAAAGCGTCTAGCATTTTTCTTATGCAGTAAAAGCCCATGCAACCACCGGACCTGTTGAGACACATTTAATTTAAAATGGCTGTCCAGGTGAAACCTTGGGAGTTGAGCTAAGATGTGAGGCATGGACCAAACACAAGTGCCCCGTGGCCCCTCCTCGGCAAAGTGTTCACTTGCTATAGCATTATTAATAAGCTGGGCGAGGCGGCCAGACGGGCGGGGGAGTAGCTAAGAATAACCGCATTTCAGCAAGCAGATGTTGGAGCCACTGCCAGGCATCCTGCACAGCCTGTGCTCTGCCCTTCCTGAGAAAGAGGTGCCAGTTGACAGAGGCGGACACACAGCCTGTGCGCTGCAGCACGGCTTCATAATGCACCGCTCACAGGTGCACAGTAGGAAGATTCGGAGACACCCTTTCCGTTTGCTACGAGCACCGCTTACAGATGGGCTGAAGTGACTGGGTGCAGGGGCTCAGCTAGGAAAGGAAAACAGGACACTGGCCCAGGAGGAAGGCAAAGAAGGAGAACCAACCGCCGAGGGATCCAGAGACTGCATGTGTGAGTGTGTGTGTGAGTGTGTGTGTGTGTGTGAATGCGTGCATGTGCTGAGTGTGCATGTGTGAGTATGGGGGTATATATGTGAGTGTGTGAATTGTGGATGTGTGTGAGTACATATATGTGTGAAAGTGTGTGTATGTGTGTGTGAGTATGTCTATATTTGTATGTGTGCTATGGGCAGGGTATATTATTACTATTCTTTCCCCCACCCCCACCCTTTGAAGGTAGGCCTTCCCAAAGATGGAGAGCCGGATATGATTCCGTCTTCTTTTTAACAGTTTTATGGACATAGAACTCATGCGATATACCATTCAATGGTTTAAATGTATTCAAAGGAGTTGTTCCGTCATCACCACAATCAATTTTAGAACATTTTATTCATTCCTGTGCCCGTTATTATTACCCCTCTGCCAGCCTCTCCTGCATCCCCCTAAGGAATGATAAATCAGGTGACTGTCTCTATACATTTACGCATCCTGGATTTCACATAAGGAACGTCACACCAAAACAAAACCAACCGACCGACCATGACAGTACAATCAAACACAGGAAAACCTCAATCCAAGAATAAGCAGAAGAGAATAGAAACTAGAACAAATTTAAAATGGATCCAAGGGGAAAACAAATGATAGTATGTTCTATTTTAACCCCACTATAGCTGCAGAAATCTACGTTCTGATGGTCCCTCCTTGTCTGGGGGCAAACTATTCACATGCTGGTCAGTGGTTCAGGGAAACCCCAGGGAGGCTCACTCGACATGTGGGCTCTGAAAACTGATGTCATCCAGAGCCTTCAGCAAACCTGGTGCTCAGAATTTAAGTTCTCATACAACTCCTTCCTCTGATCTTGGATTCTGCTATTCACAATCCTTGGATCACTGGTGTGCTCCCTCTGCATGGATTTGGCTGACACCTCGCTTAGATGGCTGCTTGTTTTAAGACAAGCCCTTTACGGGCCCAGGGGCTATTCTTTCTGATAGCCAGGCACCATCTGATTTCCTCACCACTTTGATACAGAACCTGTATCTTCAGTGTTCACTTCATGAGGGAAAGGATTGAGAGATGATGTCTTCTGGAGGATTATCTGTGACCCTGGTTCTAGAGGTGGATGAAAGGACTCCCTGGGGGTGGACTAGGAATGCATTTCTTTCTGGTTCCTGTTGGCATAGCAGGTGGCAGAGCCCTGGTGGCACCAGGATGAAGTGCGTGGGGGCTGAGCTTGGACCCAGCAGCTGCTCCTCAGAAGACAGAGGTGGAAGTCTGCTTCTGCAACACTGTCCAGTCCTACGGGGCACCTCTACCTTGCCCTCTTGGGTCACAATCTTAGGATAGATACAACAGGTGGGTTTGCCCCACCGACCCAAGCATCTTTCCCTTGCCCCCCAGGGGGGATATCCCAGACCCCTCTGAGTTGTAATTCATCAGGGCTCAGCCGCAACGCTCACCCATCCCTTTTCTTTTCCTCTCGTTCGATTTTTGTGTTTCAGGGGGAAGCAACGTTGAAAAGCTGGAGTTGGAAGACAGAGCGTTGTTTCATTTGGTTTGTCTGTTTCTTGGCGGTGGGGCTGGGGTGGGGGTGAAGCCGACAGTAGAAAATAAAGCGTTCTTGCTCGGGCTTCCCAGGGCTTTGGCCGTTAGCAATATCGTTTTGGTGTGCTACTGTTTTTCCCAACGGGGGTGGGGGGAAATGGCTTCACTCAGTGTTGAACGCACAGAGCTGATTCCACCTCAAGGTGAGCCCCATCTTTACAGTGAAGACGCCAGGCCTTTCTTCCGCAGGGCCACTGGGGGTGGCGGGGGTGTTTGGTTCCGACCCATGGGGACCCCTGCACAATGGAAGGAAACCCCGCCTGCCCCTGTGCCTCCCTCAGACGGTGCTTCTGCGGGAGCTCACTGCTGCAGCCACGGTGCCAACAATCCATCTCGGTGCCAACAATCCATCTCGTCCAGGGCTGGGGTAGTGACGTCATTTCATGTCAATGTGAAGATCTGTAAAAGTGCAGGAGTGGGTGGCATTCAACAGGTCACTGAGGTCACAGCCTGAGGGTGCCTCCTTGTGGGCGTGGCCTTCTCATAAGAAGGGTCCTGGGACCCTCCCCGCTCTCTCTGCCCTCACCTTCCTCCTGGCTGGCCCTGCTGCGTCCACCGCCCTTGGAGTCACAAGACTGTACCCACTGATCTGTGATCTTCCCGCATTCTCCGTCAGGCGGCTTCATGAGTCTGAAGAGGGACTCACGGACCAGGATCAGACTGATGGACTGGGCTGGGACACATAATTATGTCTTGATGGAAAGCTCTTTCTTACACATAGATGAGTGGCACCGGACTTGTTTCTCTAGTCCATCCAGCCTAACATGAGGGTCTCCTCCTCTTTCACCGCCGCTCCACTTTACCAAGCATGATGTCCTTCTCCTGGGTCAGCAGTCTGCAAACTGTGCATCCACAAAAACTAAGCAAAACAAAACTCACCACCACCAAGTCCATTCTGACGCACGGCGACCCTGTGGGACAGGGTAGAGCTGCCCTGTGGGCTTCGGAGACTGTCACTCTTTACAGGAGTAGAAAACTTCATTTTTCTCCTGCAGAGCGGCTGGTGGTTTGGAACTGCTGACCTTACAGTTAGCAGCCCACTGTGTAACCACAACACCACCGGAGCTCCTCTGTGCCACCCAGAGGCCTGCCACACCCCACAAAAGTCCTCACCACCCCCACCACTTGGGTCATTGCCTAGGGACACCGTTGGCCAGAGACACACCTTCGCAATCAGTAAGTGATACACTAAGTGCTCTCTAAGGACGCGGCCTAACGAGTGAGCTGAAGGTCTAGGGCCTGGGTGGGGAAATGAAGCCATTTCTCGGGAGGCGGGCGGAGTGTTTGTTACACTCAAGTGTCCAAAGAGCCCAGCCCTTTCCTTTGTTTCACCTCTTTTCTTTGAAGGACTTGGAAAGCTTTCTCAAAGGAACTGCTCCGCTTCCTGCCCTGGGACACGATGCTTTGGACATGTTTCCTGTGGAGCCCACTTCACTTTTAAGACCATGTTTGTGGATGTTGGTGATAAGGCGATACTCCAGTAGAACGCATGGCTTTTCGGGAAGTGACAGGGGCCCAGGTGGCATAGTGGGTTTACCCGTTGGATTACTAACCTCAGGGGCAGTAGTTTAAAACTACCAGCTGCTCCATAGAAGACATATGAGGCTTTCTATATGAACAGTTAAAGTCCGGGACACCCGTAAGGGCAGCTCTCTTGTCTGTAGTATCTGTGGTAGTTACATAATCTGTTGCCAATTTGAGACTGAAGAGTGAAGAGGTGGAGTCTAGCCTGTCAATCAGGTCGCAGCTTGGTGACCTCATTTGGAGGTGCTATGGAGATAAATAGCTCACTGGAGCCCAGACCCACTCTCTGCTGCACATTCCTGTTGACAAGCCACATGGAGCTATGCCGATGGAGTCAGAGCCCTGGAGCTGGAGGCGCCACGTGGAGACCCACACCAGAGCTGCGATGCTTCCACCGCCACTGGACCCACAAGACTTCCCACCCACTGGCCTGTGATCTTCCTGCATTCAGTGTCATTGCATATGTTGCCTGAGTCTGAAGAGAAATGTACAGACTGGTATCAGCCATATGGGTTAAGATCAGACTTAGGGACTTGATCTGGACTGGGCTGGGATGTTTTCTCAATGTATAATTGCTCTTGTATATAAAGCTCTTCCAGATACACCTATGAGTCTCCCTGGATTTGCTTCTCTAGTCCACCCGGACTAACACAGGAGCCTCTGAAGAAAAGGGCTGGTGATCTCCTTTCTAAAGATGACAGCTGACGGACACCCTGCTGAGCGGCGGTGCACTGCAACACACAAGGGGCCCCTGGCGTGCGCCTGATGCCAGCTGCTTCCCAGAGCACTCAAGGGTCCTTGTCACTGAGACCACAGCATCTACCTGAGGGAGTTCTCCGGCCCCCACTAGGGGCCCATTTCCTGACACCCCCTGCTCTCGGCGACTTCCTTCCCCTTACACCTCCACTGGCTTCTGCTTCTCTACCTCTGCCTGCAGGTAAGCCTCCCATAAGCCAACCGAAAAAATATAAACTCACTGTCCTCGAGTAGATTTCACTCACCTCCGCTCTATGGCACAGGGCAGAGCCATCCCTGTGGGTTTCTGAGGCTGTGGCTCTCTGTAGCAGCAGAAAACCCGGTCTTTCTCCCAGAGCGGCTGGTGGTTTTGAACTGCTGACCTTGTGCTTAGCGGCCCAGCATGCAACTCACCACACCACCAGGGCTCCAAAAGCCTGCCCACAGACTTTTCACCATAAAACACAGACCAGAAGAGCCGATCGCCATTGAGCGGATTCAGATTTCTATCGACCCCGTGTGGACTGCCGAGGCTGTCAATCTTTGCGGGAGCAGTCTTGTCTTCATCCATCCCATGGAGTGGCTGGTGGGCTGGAACCACTCACCTTTAGGCTAGTCGTCCAACCCTGACCTGACAGCAAGTGTTACCAGGGCCCCCACTCCCCCAAACCAAACCAAAGTCTGCTACCGAACCAATTCTGACTCAGAGCGACCCTATAGGACAGGGTGGAACTGCCCCTGTGGGGTTCTGAGACTCAAACCTTAAGGGAGTAGAAAGCGGCACCTTTTCTCCCGAGGAGCTTCTGGTGGGTTTGAACTGCTGACCTTTTGGTTAGCAATCCAACGTGTAATCAACAGAGAAGGGCTTTAGCAGGCTGGCTGGAGGAGCAGGTTTGAGGAGGGGCCTTCCTGGAAGCAGGGGCTCTTAGTCTGGGTTCTACTCAAGCCTTTGGAAGGACAACGTGGCAGTGTGGTAAGCGCGCTTTGATCCCAGGCCCTCCACTGGCACTGGTCTCAGTGGGGGTGGGCAGTGGTCTTCCCTGGTGGGGGTAGATCAAGAATCACAGCCCTTAACTGGGGGCAAGAGAGGCAGAAGAGGGAGCAGGGGTGTTCCAAAGGGGCAGGCCACGTCAGGCCTGGACAGAGCCCACGCCCTCCTGGCCCGGGAACCTACCGGATACTCGGTTGAAGCTCAGGAGGGCTGGCGGCTGGGGCTGGGGCGGAGGGGGCGGCTGCTGCTGCATGCCCGGCAGTGTCCGTTTCCCCTGGACGGCGAGCTGCAGTGTTTCAGGGAGTGGCTGGCCACGGGCCAGCATCTTGTAGGCCAAAATCTGAGCTCGAAGCTGGTGCAGCTGAACCGGGCTGAAAGGCGAGGGGCCTCTGCTGGGTTGGCTCATGGCCTGCGGGTCGCTGGAGATGAGCGGCCCTGGCTGGCTGGGCGGCATCTGGGGAGCTGGTGGCCCTCCGGTGGACATGGGACTGGACACATGCTCTGGGGCTCCCAGCGGAGACGGGTGCGGGGACATGTAACCTGGAAGAATACACAGAAGGAGGGACGTGAGACATAAAACAGGAGAGAGACCTCCTGGCTATTCTGTTTGCTTCCAGAAAGGAGGCTGGTGCCCCAGACAGGGTGGACCCCGGAGACAACGATTCATCTCCCAGCAGTCACCTGAGCCATGCTGGGCAGCGAAAGCGGTTTGCTCTCAGCCACTGACCTGAAGGTTGGGGGTTTAGACCCCCTCCCACCCCCCAACCCCTGCATAGCCTGAACCTCTGCTGGGGTCAAGATGACAGCCTGCACAGGGCCAGGCTCAGTCCCAGTCTGCATGGCACCGAGGGGTCACCTGTGGGAGGGAGGAGACCAGGCAGCCGCAGGTTTGGGATTTTTTTGTTTGTATGTTTGCTTACTTTTTAATTGTTATTTTGTTGGTTCGTGTTATCCTTTAAAAAAAACAAAAAACGTTAAGCCAAAGAGGTCAAGGTCATTTTAATTCTTGTTTTGTCAGCCACTGTCGAGGGGACCCTGACTCACAGCACCCCGCGTCATATGACAGAACAAAACAATAGGTTTCACACCGGGCATTCCTAACACTGCAGACTCTGGTTCTGGTTCACGGCATGGTGCCTGGGCTGGAGGGGGGTGGGGACTGCCTGCTGAGGCACCACAAGCAGGCTCACTTCTGTCGGTTGGGAGCCAAGGAACGAGGACCAAAAGGCGCTGGAACCAGTGACTCACTGGCCCCAGGAGGACCTGGCCCCTCCCGAGAGATCAGAGAGGCTGGACGCTGCCCCCTGACACCAACACCACCATGGATCATTCTGAGATTCTACAGAGGAAGACTGATCAAAAGGGGGGAGACGTGCGGGACAGAATTCCAGCTTCTCACGGAAACTGGACTTTCTGGGTCCACCGAGGATGGGTGAAATCCTGAAACACTGACCCCCGCCATCACGTCTGAAGAAGCGTACACCCAGTCTCCCCCGGAGATGTCTTCACAGCAGAGGGCGGTTTGGGTCAGGCGGGGGTCAGCAGACTTGGACTCTGGAGTGCTGTGCGGCCCTTGTACTCTGGAGTAAAACCTTAACTTCTCAGAGGCTGTTATTCAGGTGAGACGAGTTCATTTGTTTGTAAAAATGTATTTACGGGTATGGAATAATTTTTATCTTGTGAAGGACAGGATCGGCTTTTCCGTCTCAAAAGTTTGCCAACCCCTGGTTTAGATTAAGCAGAAAAAGAAAAAAACCAACAACATATAAATCTGTCTTGGAAGTAGGCTCATTTCAAAACGATCCCTGGGGGACCAAATTGAAAACAGTCACTGGGAGGATGAGGTAAGAAGCTAAGGGGGCAGGAGGTTGGGGGTGGGGAACAGCTCTGAGAGGGAGGGGCAAGATGGTCACTAGTCTCCTAAGTTGTATGAGAGATGGTTGAATGGGGGTCTGCCTGGCCGTGCCTATTTTTAACAACAACCCCAAACACAGTAAAACCACTGCCAGCAAGTGGATTCCCACTCACGGTGACCTGACAGGACAGGACAGGGTGGAACTGCCCCTGTGGGTTTCTGAGCTGAGCTGTACCTACTTACGGGGGCGGGCAGTCTCATGGTTCCCCTTCGGACGGGTTGGTGGGGTTAAGCCACAGACCCTGCAGTGGCTTATGCATGTGCCACCAGGGCTCCAGCCACAAAATCCATTAAAAAATAGTAGAAGCCCGGCACGTGAAAGTTATTAATGAGGGCATTCTGCACTCTTCCATCAGGCTTTATTTTAAATTCCACTTGGAGCTGCCTCCACGGGGGTACCCCCAGCTGCCATCATTGTGGAACCAGAGTCCCGGGCTTTTCCTCCTATGGACCATCACTGCTGGGCCACTTGCTCCTTAGAGGCAAGGATGGAGATGCCTGGTCCCACGGATTTGGGACGTGTTTTCAGGAGAGGCCAGTCCCAGGAGAAGGACATCCTGCTCGGTGAAGTGGAGGTGGGGAGGGCAGCGAGAAAGAGGAAGGCCCTAGACAAGATGGATGGACACAGTGGCTGCGGCCATGGGCTCACCCACAAGTACAACCGCGAGGCAGGTGCAGGGCCGGGCGATGGCCGTGTCCTCTGTACTTCAGGTCACTGTGGGGCAGAACTGACCCGAGGACACCTGACAACAAGCACCCAGCCCACCCTTTCTTGGTGCGCCCACCCGGGGGCCTGCAGGCTTCTCAAGACCTCCAGAGCAATGCCATCTGGGTGGGCTGTGAGAGAGGTGAGCAGGAAGTTTCAGAAGGACGTCTTCAGGGAGAGAAACCAGAGTGTCCGCCCACCCACGGGAACCGGGAGAGGCTGACCGATGCTGGGACTGTCTGCTCCGTCAAGGGGTCCAGCCTCAGACACCCAGGGGGCGGTTCTGTTGTGTCCGAGAGGATCACCAAGGGTCGTGAGTTTGGTTTGTGGTTTTTGTGCGTTGCTGGGGGGTGACCCAAGAAAAAGAGGAGAAGGGGGCTGCCCTGGCATTCTCAAAGGGGGCTGCAGTGAGCAAAAGCATTGCCAATCAGGTGCCCAGGCAGCGGTGAGGTCCAACCATGGGAAACAGCACCCAGCTCAGAAGGCCTTTGTTCCCATTGCTGTGAGGCTGTGCAGGCCTCGGCCGGTGGAGCTTCCCAGCTGACCCAGGCTAGGAAGAAAGGCCTGGAGAGCCACCCCGAAAGCCCTGTGGACCCCAGCAGGCAGCTGTGCCGCGCACCGGGGG